CACTAAATTTAAAATCTGGAATACTAAAAAACTCTATAAAGTAAAGTCTAATTTTGACATATGCAAGTATCAACAACCTCTTCATCAATGGTGGTTATATGAATTTAAAACCACCAAACAATATCTTGACCAATGTGAATCTATATTAAGTTTGCTCAATTTTTTATTGAACAACTTAAAAATGCCAAAAATGTTCTATCGTCATATTTACATAAATAGCTGATATTTCTTAAGTGGCTTACAGATAAGCAACTTAATCTCCAAATATGATATATCATTAAGTTTGGGCAAGAGTTTTATGAACCTGTTTATGATTTTCTAACTAGATATGACCCAACTCCACAAATATACTGGCCAAATAATATCGATACTTTTCCCTCGGGCAATCGTGCTCATGAAATGCAAGATAAAATAATAATATGAATTCAAAAGCTTCAATATTATCTAGAAGATATTTATAGATTGTTTAGAAATAAATTAGTTGATACTGAATGTGAATTAGATAAAAGAAATTTTGAAAACTTTTGTGAATCATTACGAACCGGAGTAGAGAATGCATTGGATGGATTTGTTAAATGGATGGAAGTTTGGGTTCACTTACCCTTAAACATTTGTCGATTAGGTGGAGAAAACAGACCAGAATTTGCTTATGCTTTTTTAAATATATTTTTCAATAAAAATTCTTCAAAAAACCCTACCTTGCAGGAGATCTCTTACGTTCAAATTTTAAAAGAGGATTTGTCTAATGGACGTCCAAATACATTTGGACTATTAGAGGCGTTAAGGCAGAATGATTTTTTTAAAGAGTTTGAAGCATTTGCAAATTCCGATAAATCAGAACTAGTAAAATTTCCCCTAATATATGAATTTGTTAAATTTCATATATGGAGCATTGTGGTGTATCAACAGCAGCTGGAAGGATTATTCAACCGTTATGATGTAAAAGTTCACTCTAACATGAGTGCTCAATTACAAGAATCACGTATTCAACTCTCCAGTTTAGATGGTGAATT